TATATATATATATATATATATATATGCGCAATTGATTTTCTAACTATTAAAGAGTAAAAACAAAAACCGGAAACCAGACTTAATTCTTTCATGTTAATTCAATGTTTGAATCAAAAGCTGAAGAAGACAGTGAATAATGAGAGGTGGGAGTTATTTAGTTAATATTTTATGTAAAAGTTATGCCTAAGATATACTTCATTATTATTAGTGAAAGTTTAATATAATTAATACAATTACTCAAAATTGATCCAATTAAGTGTTTTTATTTATTTATTTATTAAAACCTAACAAATAGTTTATCTGAGAGTCCCCCAATTCTAGTATATCTGACATGGGTGCATATATACATACGGGGAACGCAGACAAGGGGGAAGTGGCAGAGCAATATCAGATGAATGCAGAAGGCAGGGCTCTCAAGTGTCAAGCGTTGACCTACCAGATGTAATCTCACCCCAGATTTATTGGGGATTGCTCTGTCTGGTGCTCCCTGAGGATGTGGTACCTCTGGACATGTGCCCAAATACCTATATTTTAATCCGGGTCATCCTATGTATTCCCCATGCTGGCAATACAATAAAAGTAAAGGACAAACTTAAGCTATTCGATTATATTTCTATGATGTAGTAATTGTAAGTTGGTTTATTCAGTCCATGCGTTACATTAGTGTATTTCCAAATGCGTCCTATATGTGTGTTGAGATCAATAAAACACGACACGAATCAGCTGTTCAAAGTGGGCGTTAGAAACGCTGTCGTCAGGAAAAAGGCGATCTTTGGACACGTATTGTAAACGCCCATAGCGTTTTGTTCATGATTTTAAATCATAGACAAAATACATGGTTTTGTGTTCACCACTTGAAAGCTGAGCTGCATTTGATTAAGAAACATGAAAAGGAGGTTATTGCTGGTGTCAAACTCGACCCTTTACGGTGGAGGTTATTTGGATCACTGTCAACAAGAGATAAAGCAGTTTTTCGGAGAGTAAGTTTATCACATTATTAAAGGTTAAATACATCCATCTTCTGATTTGCATGCTGTTTTTAGTTATATCCCATTGTTCGATGTGTGGAAACTTAATGAAAACGAAAATCAAAGGTTCGCTTCAGCCTTGTTTTTAGTGTACATTTCGATAGCATACTTTGTCAACGAGTTCGTTCTTGGTTGATTTTAAACTGTAGATTTTGTTATATTAGTACTGTAGTTATAAACACTAAACCTAAACCTTTCTGCCAGTCATGTGAAAAAAATACTCTTCGTTCCCTACGCTTTAAAAGACCGGGACACTTATGCTAGCACTGCCCGGAAAAAGTTCACAAGTCTAGGTGAGTAAAGGAACACCGATTTCCAGTAATCTCTTACAGTACATGACAGTGTCGCCCGTATGAGCGGGTATTTCAGATCAGTACAGACTAGTGTTTGAATTTGCATCTCTCCGTTCTTTCTTTTATTCATGTTCTTAAATAGGTTATGAACTGGACAGTGTACATGAAGCAGCCGATCCTGTGGAGGCAGTGAAAAGGGCAGAGGGCATCTTCATTGGTGCGTTGGTGCATAATTTCTGATCTCTTTAGTGATCACTAGGATTCCAATGGTACCTGAAATTCATCATTAAAATGGATTCCATGTCAAATCATCACACTTTCGGACCTCATTGTCACGGATTTCAACGAAAACGAAACTTGGCATGCTGATTTGGTCACATTTGAATAATTACTATGTAATAACTGATTAAAATGTTAAAATTTCAATAACAAAAGAACCTATATTTTAAAATTGATCAATTTTTTTTTTACTAAAGCTAGATCATAATGTCATGAACATCTCCATATGTAAGTAATAACATTAAGGTTACAAATATGCTACAATGACATTTAATGGAAGCTTCATTAATGTCATTGCAGACACCTGTACTTGCCATACTATTGAAAAGGCCCATATGGCTACCTGTTGTGTCTTTGCTTGAAATTGTGTATGTCCACTCTGTTGATGTCACATGTTCAACTACTAAAAGCACCTCCTGATGATCCATAACAAGTCTATCAGGATGGCATGGGAATGAATAGGATGGAGATGGTCTATGAGGATGTAAAAAGCTCAGTCTCAACTCTCCAGTGCTGGGCATAGTTTCTTCAACACATCCTAGCCACCAATTCTCATCATATGCAGCCATGACATAACCTTTGATGCTTTCAAAGTCTAGTGATTCCCTAAGTGTGCACTTACACTGGACCGATTTGCACACCTCACTCACCTCTGATGAATGCAGGCCATTTATTAGCCATATTTACTAGCCATGTGGGCCTTTTCAATAGTATGGCAAGTACAGGTGTCTGCAATGACATTAATGATTGTAGCATATTTGTAACCTTAATTAATGTTATTACTTACACCTGTGCTTGTTATACTATTTCATGTCAGTTTGGCTGCCATTAAAAAGGCCCATCAGTGATATGAAACCATGTGACGCTACCTTTACGTCAAGATATCTCAGCAATACCTTAAAAACCAAAGACCAAATTTTCTCAATTTTTTCCATTTTCTGGAGATGTCTTGACATTATGATGCATTAGTAAAAAAAATTATACATTTTGAAATATAGGTTTTTTTGTTATTGAATTTTAAATATTTTAATCAGTTATTACATAGTAATTATTCATATGGGGATAGCATGATATTTGTTCAATCTATAGAACTGGACAATAGCTTTAAAACAATATGAGGTCCACTTCTGTGCAGCTTATATCAAGGTAAATATAGCCAGTCAAAGTCATAGCTTTTTTTAACTTAATCTCCCTCAATATTTATCCAAGACACGCCCAGTTTCAGTTTCATGAGTTACTCATGTGACCAAACCAGCATGCCAAGTTTCGTTAAAATTTGTGACAATGAGGTCCGAAAGTGTGATGACATGACATGGAATGTCCCAATGGTCTCCCATTTTCACTTGTGACATTTCGTCAAGATTTTGCAGTGTGTCTGTGGGAATTTTTTGCCCATTCATCCAGAAAAGCACTTGTGGGGTCAAACACTGATGTTGGACATGAAAGGCTGACTCACAATCTCCATTTTAGTTCATCCCAAAGTTATTTGATGGGGTTGAGGTAAGGGTTCTATGTGGACCAGTCAATTGTTCCACACCAAACTCACCCAACCATGTCTTTATGGACCTTGCTTTGTGCACTGGGGCACAGTCATGCTGGAACAGAAAGGACCTTCCTCAAACTGTTCCCACAAAATTAGAAGCATAGAATTGTCCAAAATGTCTTGGTATGCATATCTTGTATGGCGAGGTGTCCCAGTACTTTTGTCCATATAGTGTAGTTTTGTCCATATGTTGAGAGTTTGGCTGATCTGATTGTTTACTGCATTAAATGTTGTTGTACAAAGTATATTATTCATAGTCCAACAACTTGTCCTGGTTAGAGTCACATGGAGTATCCCATTCAGCACAGGGCACAAGGCAAAGATCACAAGTGATGTATACAGCAGGCAGGAGAGAGACCATTTGCATGTGTATCTGGAGGAAATCTGTGCAATGTATACTGAGAACGCAAAAACAAGACTCAAACCCACAACTGAGGAGGTGCCTCAACTGCCACAACTGTGCCACCCTACTCAATGTGCTGTGGAGTTTGCATGTCTAAAAATAGTCTGGCATCGTTTTGGCGTGCCTTCGGATAGACTGGCATCGTTTTGGCGTGCCTTCGGATAGACTGGCATCGTTTTGGCGTGCCTTCGGATAGACTGGCATCGTTTTGGCGTGCCCTCGGATAGACTGGCATGCTGCCCAGGGTGGTCCCTACTTTGTAGCCTTTGCTTCTTGGGGTTCCAAACCAACCATGATTCCATGGGTAGGCAGTCATGGAGGATGGATGGATGATATCAAGGGAGGGATTTCCTGATGTCTTGTCTTTCTCCCCAGGGGGCGGCAACACATTCCGTCTGCTCAAAACCTTGTACGATCACAAGCTGGTGTCAGAAATCCAGAGGCGTGTGCTGGTGGTGAGTGCAACTTGCCTGATTTTCAATATTATTTTAATTAATATTCTGTTATTCAGTCTCAGACTTAACCTGGTTCTGAATTTACCACGCCAGAGCTGGAGCATTTATAAGACAAGATCATTGCAAGTTATAACAGGTAAGTTTATGAATTCAGTGTTTTTGGGCTTTACAGGACGGGGTTCCATACATGGGTTCAAGTGCTGGCACAAACGTTTCCACCATCAGCATCCATACCACAAACGACATGCCCATTGTCTACCCTCCAAGCCTGGATGCCATTGGCCTGGTGCCTTTTAACATCAATCCCCATTACGTGGATCCTGACCCTAACAGCAGGCACATGGGGGTGAGGCCAATAATATTTTTCTCGTGACTTTCTTTCTATGTCCAGCGTGCTTCCACCTTTCTCCTACAAGAGCTGTATTAATACTGCAGTTAATCATTAAATCTCGATTAAGTTTGTCATGATTTTCATCAATACTTTGAACCTGTGCATTGATTCATTTATTGCGGTATGGTGGTGTTTTATTTTTCAAACGTAAACATTTGTTGATTAAAATGTGCTGTTTATTGTAGTCTGTGCTAAGTGCACTGCAATTCAAAAATGCAGTGAAGCGTCTACCTCTCAAATGTTAAAGCAGCGATTCTCAACCCATGGGTCGCAAGGGAAAATTGGAAATGTCTAGCTCCAGTCCTAGAATTAACCAATGTTAATATGGGTCTTGGGTCTGCAAATGCTTAGCGCAAAACTAGTGAACACTCAACCAATCCAAAAAGCCAAACCACAGGTGCTTCATTTAAAATTCACTGGCACATCCAATCAGATATGTGCGATAGGCATTGATTGGCATAAATTGCAGAGTGCACTGCATGTTTGATCATAGCCTTAATTTAAATAAATGCTTAGATAGATATATAGTTCAGTACAGCGGGGAGGTCAGTGATTCAGTGGGGGGGGCAGAAGTGCCTGGTACAGTGGGGAGGTCAGTGATTCAGTGGGGGGGGAGGGCAGGGGCCGAAGTGCCTGGTACAGTGGGAAGAAATGCATAATTTGTGTGACTGGTAGTAGAAATGTGCAACAATTTGACTCATCCTTGGTAGTTAAAGGCTTTTAATGCCAGTTAATTAAATTTGGCCTTTTTAAAAATATTGTTAGTTCCATTGCTACAGTATTGGAATGTTAACTACAATAACAATGGTCTGGATACAATGGTTGTGATGCATTGAATCATGACCCTGGTACTCTATAATGGGCCAGTTAGCAGTATCCAGCCCTATCTTTTGAGTTTAGTTAACTTTGATGGTTTGCATTATTCTATGTAGGAGACCCGAGAGCAGCGCATTCTTCAGTTTCATGAGGAACCCGATACACCACATGTGCTGGTAAGCTGTGCCTCGCTTTTTATAGCTCCTGTAATTCTTGTATTCAGTGCATGGGGGCAGTGTTTGACTCAGCAAGTTGGGAGACTACGCTTATGATCAGAAGGTGACTGGTTCACATCCCAGGATCAGCAGGGGTATTTCACTGTTGGGCCCCTCAACCCCCAGTTACTCCAGGGACTGGCTGACCCTGTCTTCCCAATCGCACATCACTTTGGATAAAAGCATCTGCTGAATAAATACATTTAAATTAATTCTGATACTCAACTAATGGTTTTTTTGAAAAGGACTTTTCACCCATTCATACCTTTGGGTGCAGATTAAATTAAAGTGCATGACCAGTGGTTTGCATACATGAGTATGGATGCTGTCCTGTTTAGGGCTTGAGGGAGGGATCAATGCTGCTCGTGGAGGGACACAAAGCCACGCTGCTGGGCAGCACTAATGCAAGGCTCTTCCCCAGGTAATAGTCTCAGGCCAGTGCTCCTTTATCTGCATAATTGTCTGGGAAGACAAGTTTGTAACCTGTTGGATGTGTTGCAGAGGAGAAGCGGCCACAGAATTCACGCCAGGGAGCGATCTCAGCTTCCTACTGACAGACTGATCACTGGCTGGAAGCAGAATGGCATCTCACAAGCACATATCATATCATGTGACCAGAGGAATGACTGTACTTACAAGCAGATTTAAGCTTACTGTTAAAAACAATTGTCCATTAATCTTAAATACTTTGGTTAGATATCTACTGTTAAGCATCAAACCTGAATGCAACACATACAGGAGACCAAAATCACAAGAGATGTTTATTAAGACGCTGAAGAAGAAATGTACCCAGAAAATGCAAAAATGGTTCTATTCAGGTAGTATAATTGAGACCTTGCATTTTAAATAGGAAATTACTATCATTCAAAGACACTGAACATCTAAAAACATTAGGGATCCAGAAGCTACTGCAGCTTGGAAGATTTTTTGCCATCCTACATAGATGTTTGTCCTTGACACTCTATTTTTAATAGTAAATAAATTGTGAAAATCAATGGCTTAACTATCTGACATCACTAAAACCATTACCTTTTTCTGTTAACTTAATACGAGGAAATGATAATTATCCTGAGCACCAATCAATTAACAGCTTTTCTAACGATTTGTTCAGCTGCTTTCTAACAAAGGCACTATCCCTTTGGCCCATGTTTCCAGGACACCGTGTGCGCATGAATACTCTGGCTAAAATGAGCCTTTTTCTAATGTTTTTGTTATAGCAGTGTAAGTGTATGTGCCCGCTAATGGGTGGGAATACTGTCCAGAGGGCTTCCTAGCTTTGTATCCTGTGCATCAATGTACCGGACAGCCAATTGAAATACGGATGGACAATGGTAATAAAAGGAGCTGATATGATGTATTCTTTAAAGTTTCCCCTCATGGTCTAGAATGCTGATCAACAGCAACTCAAATTGTAACTTTGGATACAGTTTTTTTTAACTTAAAAATGCAATTCCAGTTTTGACCACAAGAGGTCAAGATTGTATATTTGTCGACAATTAATGTATTCCCTGGGTGAGGAATAAATATGGTTTTGGGAGTGGTCTGACACTGCTTTCTTTTTAACACAATAACTCAAAGTATTAGTAGATCTTTTCAGTTTTGCCGGTTGCATTGTCTGGGTTATGAATTACAACTAATCAAAAATTGAAACAGCACCGCATTGTTATGGCAAAGAACGGGGCAGTTTTGACACTTGATCCCTTCCAGACGATAACTGAAAATTTAATTTGAAGGATCTTTCTCAAACACTGCAGCCACATTGTATGGGTGAACTGAACTGATCAGACTGATAAAAAAAAGACAAACTTACCCAAAGGAAATGAAGGCTGTATAAGACACTTGGTCTTGTGCACACCAGGGCTGTGGAGTCGGAGTCGAGGAGTCGGAGTCGGAGACAATTTTGGGTACCTGGAGTCAGAGTCGGCAAAAAGTTAACAGACTCCGACTCCTACTAAATTTAAATGGGAATTAAAAAAGTAAGTTGAAATGTCCCAATTCACAAACACTCATAATGAACTACTTCTCTGCTGTAAGAATAAAGCCCAATGCATGCAGTGCATAATGTTACCACAAAACGAACATGTCAAGTAACCATGAAGCATGCTTTTCATTGACTGTATGCGTCACTATATGGGATGTAATGCACAGGTAAGGTGCGGCACCGCTATCCATTGTGTCGTGTTCCACTGTTACAGGGAACTGTGAACCTAGCCTAAAGCCCCCCATACATTTACAGATGCACTGCCGATTTTTCGGCCGTTCAACGAGTCATCACGCGTGAAACGCCTGAAAAATCATCTGGTGTGTTCTCAGCTCCGTCGGCTCCCCTTCGCTATGCGCTAGTGAAGGGGGCCGAAGGAGCCGAGAACACAGATCTCCCTACCTGTCTCCAGCAGAGGCTCGTTCTGCTGTTCAGCTGGCCGGTGAGTGACACAATGCACTAAATTTCCGGCTGGCTGACAGAGGAGACAGCCACTGCAGCAGACAGTGGCATCACATTACTTTGGATGGGGGCGGTGGTCGAGATTTTCGGCAAGCTATATACATACAGAGGAGTCGGAGTCGGGGAGTCAGAGTCGGAAGATTTAGAAACTGAGGAGTCGGAGTCGGAGCAGTTATCTACTGACTCCACAGCCCTGGTGCACACAGTGGATCTTTCACAAATTTTGCAAACACAAGGAATTCCCAGATGGGGAATACACAGTCTTGGAACTGGTCAGTCACTGCCACTTTTAGACACTTCCTTGTTACCACGATATCTCAAAATGCATTTCATGGCTCTCTTTCAGTGATCAAATTTTGAGACAAATCGTACCAAAACTGAAGCAGCTTCACACAGAGATTCCAAAGAAAAGGACAGTTTCAGGCACTTGATCCTCTTAGCATGACAACTCAAAAGGTATTTGATAGATCTTTTTCAAACTGTACAGGGGCATTGTTTGGATGATGGAGTAGTGCTGATCAAATTTTGAGACAAATCACACAAAAATAGAAGCAGCATCACAGTGATACTAAAGAGAAAGGTAGTCTTCAACACTTGATTGTGCCAACAGCACATAGTTTATTTTGTCATTATCTCCTGGTTGCGGATCACAGCTAAATGTTGTAATGATATAGTTTTATTAAAGTGAAGTTAAAATACAAAAACTTCATAAGCACAAGCACTGTTCATTCGCATGAGAATAAAATATACTCTAGAATATCATACAATCAAATCAATGGCCAGCCACCACAGGAGCTTCACCTCTTTCCTTCTTCACAGGCTGCTTCTTCCTCTTTTTACCTTTAAATATCGGCGAACTCAAGAACTGCGTGTCAGTAAATTTATCCCCACGCCTCATTTTGCTAGAAAAAAAGAAAAAGACATTTTCAGTTGGGGCTGATCAATATCATTCAATCATTCAAAAATCATTCAAAGGAACTGCTCTGCACGTGAATAAAAACTTCCTGTCATTTATTGTGTGAAATAAGTAAGTGTCTCACTTACTGTGTGAAAAGTTCTCATGGGAATCTGAGTTAAGTATTTACCAAACCCAGCATTCTCCAGCTGATAAAGCACATTAGCAGGTTTCATTGCATTGCATCATATGCATACAAACATGTATAAACAACAGAAGTAACAATTGCAGCTTTCATCAGGTTCATGCAGCTTTAAACCCTGACTATCTATTATTGAATTTAATAATCAACTATAATACAGAACCAGGTTGGGTAAACATTGGCCCACCGATTAGCTTTAACCGGCCTTTCAAGCAAAAATATATAAAAGATCTGTTTATTATTTTCATTTATTGCATTGATTGTACAAATCGATTTAGCAAGAATTAGGAGATATTTCGTTTTTAGCAGTCTGTAAAAAGATAAGTAAATATTGGACGTGGATCGGTCACATATGGCCAATACCCGATCTGTCTAATAAGTAAGGATTGGTGCCAATACCAGTCCAAATATCGGATCGGTACACCCTGTCAACTATTTACCCTTACAATAAATAAAACAATAACAACCCAAGTGGAATCATTCAAATTCATTGGAACCACCATCTCACAAAACCTTAAATGGGAGGCAAACACTGAATCATCATGAAGGCCCAACGAAGGATGTTCTTCCTCCGACAGCTAAGAAAATTCAAGCTGCCACAAGCACTACTAGTGCAGTTTTTCAGTGCTATCAAAGAGTCAGTCCTCACATCCTCATTGACCATTTGGATTGGATCACATACTGCAAGGGAAAAGGCAAAACTCCAGCAGATCATCAACTCAACTTCCTTTCAAGGGATTCTACCACAGCAGATGCAGGAAAAGTCCTGCCAATCCCCTTCTATCAGCCACTACCTTCAGGGGTCAGATATCGAACTGTTAAAACAGGAACTTCAAGGCACAGAGAGTTTATTCCCATGGACCATAACCCTGCTCAGTTACAGAATTTAGACTCTCACTTTTTAATGCTATATGTTGACTTATATTTAAAGCTCGTCTTGTGTGATTCTTACAGCAAGCGTCTAGTAGTGTTGTCATGATACCAAAATCATGACTTTGATACGATACCTAAATAAAATATTTTAATACCGATACAGTGTGTGGTTCAGTGAGCTAAGCCTCTGCGTCTATGATCAGAAGCTTGACAGTTCAAGCCCAGCCTTGGCATGTCTGTGGATCCTTGAGCAAGGCCCTTAACGCCCAGCTCCCTGGGTGCTGCAACAGGTGGCTGTCCTTTGTGGTCAGCTTGCTCTCACCTAGAGAGCAAGTTGGGGGGAGACGTAAAGACAATTTCCCCATGGAGATCAATAAAGTATCAATTATTATTAGAGACATTACCACAACAAAAAACTAATGGATAAATAGATGAACACGGAACTTAAAATATAATTAATATTTGATCGATATCAGTCAAGCTAAATATAGCCTATTTTGTCACAAGTGCAGAGCTATACTGAACATGTTTTAACAAAACTAAAATCATTCAGTCGTAGATGCTGAGCTTTACAGTCATTTAATGTTGTAATACATTTATAACACTGAAAATTTGAATATTGTAAATAACTTGATCAAGGTCATTGCGTTATTAAAGCTTACATGGTATTCAGTATTATCCCCTATACTTCAGTTTTGATTTCTTTTACGGTTATAACTATTGGCGAGATGCTCTGCCAAGTTCAATGTGTTGCCTCCCTTGTTCTGTGTTGATTTAATACATCTTTTACACTCAAGCTTTACGATGTCTGGTTTTGCCCTGACTGCCAGCAATGAAAGCTAAATAATGCCATATTTCTCTCCGTATGTCTACAAGCTGTTGGCAATTAGCAACAGTATACTGAAATGTTGTGACATTTGTGAACGATTTGTTTGTGGGGAACGAGTCTCTTACAGGAACTATACACTAAATACAGGAACTGTACATTCACTTCCCTGCAAAGATTTTTTGTTTTTGTTCTTTCGATTGTCTTCAGAAATATGACATTAATGCTGCTTCCCTCCTCAACTATGGACAGTGACAGCCAGTAAGGCAAGTAAGGTGCTGTAACCGAGCATATGATTGGCTGAAACCTAAACTTGGGACTAAACATATTTGCCTACAGTGAATGAACGACAGAGTTGGTGAGTGAGTCGATGAACAAGAGTGTTTCCTCAGTCTCTCAGGTCTCTCATTCTGAACGAGAGACCAGGAGTGAGCAAGCTGGTGAGCGAGTCAGTGGATAAGAGGCTACTGAACGAGAAAGCTGTACCTCAGTCGTGACTGAAATACTCCATCTACAGGTGTATTATAGTCTACATGTGCAGTGACCCTCCTCATATGCTGCAATTGGAAGATGTAACATTTTCAGGATTTAAATTATTTTAACCATGGTTTATTAGCAATGGTTTATTATTGTGATGAACAGTTAGTTTGGCGTTTTTAAAAAAACATGGTAAGGTACAATATTGAGAGACAGACTATAATTCAATACTGGTGGTATTTAGCTTACTCCTTAGCACTATTTAGCTTTAATATAATATAATAATTATATTATACAAAAACACAAAGCGGCGGTGTGTGACAACACCGCTACACAACACCGTAACCCACCACGCCATCCTGCCTCCGACTGGCTTGCACAATGCGTGATGTTAATATCAACATGGCATTTCATGCAACTGTTACGTCTCAAGGACCACAATAGTCTGCTGAGTTCAAGACTCAATAATTTGCACTATTTTTTATTTTTTACTCAGTCACTAGAAACAAAACTTAGTAAGCCTTATTTTATTTTAATGATGGTTCCTTTACAAAATGATCTAGTATCTGTAAAAATAAATAAATGAACATGATCAGTCTAAAGTTTACCGCCACTGCTTTTGCATGAACTCTGCATGCACATTATGTATTACAGAGCTGGTCTGCCAATTCCATAAGAATTCATAAATTAGATGACAGTCGATTGTTCCTGATTTTCCTTCCAGTAGGGCTGGAAACCATTAACACATGGTGCTAATTTAAAAATTATAATGTGTTATTATTTCTCTCACCATGTTAATGCATGCAGTACAGACTATCCCCAGGTTACAATATGGTTACATTTCAATAAATATACTGTATTGTAAGGCAAAAATATTGTTACAATGCAAAAATGCGTTGTAATAAACATCATAGCATATATGCGGTGTCAAGCACTCATTTTTGTGTACAAAATACATTCTCTGCCACAAAAAAACATTATTTAATGAGGAAATCAAGTAATGCTTTGCTGCATTCTGTCCACAATAGCAAAAAGACTCTCTTTTGTGCACAGAAATCAAAAGCAATGTTTCATTTTGTGCACAGAATTGATATCAGCACTTTGCATTTCGTGGACAGAAGAAAGTCATTTTGTAGATGAAATCCATTTTGTGAATGAAAGAAAGTCATTTAGTGGACAAAATGCATTTTGTGAATGATACAGTCATTTTGTGGATGGAATTGATTCTGTGAAATCACAAGATGTATTTCGTCTTTAGCTGACGAAAGCAGTATTTTGTTGGAAATTAATAATGTGTATGTCACAAGTTTAACTTAAGTTAAACTGTTTAACATTAAAATATGGGTCATTCTCACAAACTTCACACTTAAAAAAATGTTTTGGTGAAATTAGCAAAAGCGTTTTCTGTTAATCAACTGACTAACATTTTACGTATATTAAAATTACATAATTTGTTGAAGTGATTTGATGAGAGTTAGCTATTGTTTCCAAATAGATCAGTAACACACAACTACAAAAAATGTTTTCAAATATTTCAGCTTAATTGCATGTAACCCACAATAAACAATCAATTTGTATGATAAGATATACATTTTTAATTTTTGTCATTTTTCTCTTATTTCAGTAATGTGTACCCTGGATTTGATTAATACTTATATTACAGATATAAATAGTGACATAACAGAAATGAATAACTACCCCAGAAGCAAAATCAAGAGTTGAGACAATGAATCTAAAAATTAGAGAAAATGAATGTTACAGTAATGAGTTTGTGAGAATGACCCATTTACTCTGCTTTGTGTTAATTCTTCATAGATTTGGGGATTCAAAATATAATCACAGAAAATTGTAAGATGAATTTTCTTTATGGGTGCACCGATCGATCGGCCAGCGATCGGAATGTGCCGATTTTCAGCCTGATCGGTGATCGGCCGATCAGTCTCGTATTTACGATTACGAACCGATCTTGCGCATGTGCAGTACATCATATACACAGTCGCGCACTTTCAGACATGCAAAAATGGCAGAAAAAAACGGCAGAAGAGAAAAAAAAAAGAAGTCAACTTTTGCGATATAACCCAAAACCTTTGCGTTATAACCAAAACTTTTGCGATATAACCCAAAACCTTTGCGTTATAACTCAAAATGTTTGCGACATAAGACAAAACTGTTGTGACTTGGAACTGGAAATATGAGTAGTCAGTGTAAAGAACATAACAGATAGGAAAGCATATAGCGTTTAATCATTTCTTACTTTGATTTTGGTCTACAATACAGTGGTATGAAAAAGTTTGGGCACCCCTGATCATTTTCATGCTTTTCCTTTATGAATCACTGGTTGTTTGGATCAGCAATTTCAGTTAAATATATCATATAGCAGACAAACACAGTGATATTTGAGAAGTGAAATGAAGTTTATAGGATTTACAGAAAGTGTGCAATAATTATTTAAACAAAATTAGGCAGGTGCATAAATTTGGGCACCCTTGTCATTTCATTGATTGAATACCTTTAACACTAATTATTGGAACACAAAATTATCAAGGGGGCCCAAACTTTTTCATACCACTGTATATGGACATTCAGTTTGTTCTCGGATCTAGGCATGATGTTCACATAAGTCTGAGACAGATTAAGAGGATTTTATGTGAAAGGGGATTATTCCAACGGAAAAACTACTCCAACTTGGGTGATGTAATTAACTTTATTCGCGAGCAGCTTTTGCACTCTGGGCAGCTTCATGGTTATTGATGAATGTATGCAAAATGCAGAATAAATGGACTTCATGTGAGAAAAGAGGATGTGCGTTTGATTTATATTATATTAATTTATTATAAACATGGAACAACAAAAAACGAACAATTCTTTAGGCTTAAATCAACCTCAACAGATTAGCATTAATTAGCAATGCTACTGAAACTTTACCAAGGCTTGCTGTACAAATTACTAATTATGAATTAAACAATCAAATCTTACCACACTGAACTCTAAATTTTTTTTAACTGTTAAATTAGATTAATAAGCGAAGTGGGGATCAACCACATAATGCAAACAGCGGCTTTGGAAGTTGCACTTGAATGACCAAAAGTACGCTAGTCACCTGGTTTTATTGTTGCATTACTACAGAAAAGTGTTGGGTTATAACCAAAGAATATAAACCAAGATCAGCCAAGAAAATCGCAAATCGGTGCATCCCTAATTTTCTTTAAATCAATTCACAGCCCTACCCTGAAGTTTTAATAACGAACAATTTCAAAACAAATTCTGTTTCCGTTATACAAAAATTGCATCAAACCCTTATCCTAAATACAAGGTGTGTACCCTTACACCATTAGTAAAGACTAAGTTCTTACATTAAAAAGCCTTTATTGAGCTATTGTTTCAAGTTGGGTTGTTGGCTGAACACATAGCTGCGAGTTTTTTGTTGCCCAATTCAGGGTGTTGGGAAAGATGTGCATGAATAATAGTGGTATTACCACAATATTTTGTAGGAGCGAATCTTGCAGATATTCATGTCTTTACAGAATCCAAAGTTTGCCCAAACTTTAGATTCAAATTGAGACAGTGCCGGAAAAGTCTCTGCACATGCTTGCTCATTCATGATAGCATTGTGACGGGCTTCCACATTTCAGTCTCTTAACAGAATGTGTGCAACAGGGTAAATCTATTAGCAGTAACAAATGAGACCAACTTAAGTAACCTAAAAAAGTCTGCCCACCCTTGATATAAGACATTTGCAAATGCTTTATGGATTAGATACCATAAAGGGTAAAAAAAAATAAAAAATTATGAAAAATTAGATGCCACCCAAGTCTACTATTAAACATCTAAGCCAAAATCTAAGATCTAAGCCAATTTGAAAATAGTCCATTGCTAAGACAGTAGTTCATTTGAAATTGCCTGCTGCCAAGCCCAAAGGACAGCAGGTTAATAGCACTCTAAGCTGTTTATTATATGCTTATAAACACATGGCTGCAGTGGCAATGTAAATATATTTTGAACTATTGTTTCAATAATTTAGCTTTATGTACCTCCTGATATTCAACTGCATTATGAGTGAAACCCAATTATGGAGTGTTTACTGATTATTAAAACCGGACTTTGTCATCTTGTTTAAGCAGGTTAAACAGGACTGCAACATAAGAGCAGACTACAAGTTCATTATATCAATTCATCGTTTTGGTATTTAATCACTGACCACAGGTCCTGATCTTCAGCCTAGAGTACTGCTGTTGTCTAAGTGATCTTTACTTTTATAGTTTCCATTAAGTAATGTTAGTTAGAATGAAAAAGATTATTGTTGCTTGGCTGGCACTTCATGTGCGGTTAAAGAAATTTAATCAACACCTTTCAGATTTGAGAATTCAACAGTGCTGTGGCATAAAACAATATTAAAACTTGTAGGCTCACCATATGCTTTGATACCCTCGTTTTTAAGTACTCACCTGTTGATGGGAGGTTCCTTGTAAGACACAGCTCCCCCCCGCCTTCTTTTCGGACGAGATTCATACTCACCTGTTGATGGAAGGTTCCTTGTAAGACACAGTTCTCCCCTGCCTTCTTGTCAGATGAGATTCATCCTCTACTGTCCAGTTTGTATTAGTTATATTCTTCAAAACTTTCCCCTTTTCAACTATGCAAACAAAAACAACATCTGGTGTTTTAACATGACTAACTAGGTTCAAATCATCTTAATTACTTATATTAAAAGACATCACCTACCTGGGGATTTATCTGCTACTCTTGTCCCTGACCCAGTGTGACCTGCCACACTAACCCTTGATTTCGGAAGAGGACTAGCAGCTGGATTTTCAGCTAGGACCCGCTCAGAACAGGGAATTGATGAGGGTGCAGTGGCACTGCAGTGAGGTCTGTCACCCTTGGTCTGCCATTTTAAGGTGTCCCATAGCAACTCTGAGCCTTCCTCAGCTTTTACTGTGACTCCCAGAACAGGAGTGATGCCATTGGCTGAACAAATACCTCCACACTCAGCATTCTTCCTTGTCACTTGTGAGTTGCTGGTAACATAAGCTTTTCTGTTGACTTCACTTTGTATTTTGTTGCCCTTTTTCTTTTCTTGCCCTTCCTCATAACCTCTTGCAGTACTGGAAGGATGTAACTGGTGGTATGAAGCCACATTTTCTACATCACACTGCCTCGACATCTTTCTGGGCTCACTGCTAGTGAGATTTTCGTTCACTGGAAGAGAGAAGTCATCTTTCCGGGTGTTTTTCTTCCTAAATCTGAATGTGCTCTCTTTACTTGTGTTCTTGGATTTAGTGTCAATAAAGGAGCAGGTGTTCAGACACTCCCAAGGAGGTCTCTCCTTCATGATCAAGTCTTCGGAATTCTCTAGATCCCCAGCTGCCCGGAATTCAACAGAGAGCTGTGGATTCTCTTGGAAAGGATCCTGCGGTGATTCTGAGACTTCTGTCACCAAGATAGTTCCTCCAACAGAAACAGGAGCATCAAGAACAAGAGACAGATCTGGGTTGTATCCTTCATGGGCCAAATCATCATCCCTCCTCAGGGGGAACACTGTGTCCTTGCTTTTGGTTTCAAGGCAGCCTATTGCGCAATCATCTATTACATAGGTTCGTCTATTTATAGAAGAATAAGATGTGGGGACAGTGAAAGTCTGTTCACTTTTTAAACAAGGCGTTTTACCATCCTGCACATCTGCATCCCAGGGAATTTCCACATTTCCAGAGTTCTGAACTTCAGGGTCTCTAAAATAATCATCTTTAATTTGAGAAAATAATACATTGTTATCATCATGGTTCTGAGAGGTGACTGAAATTCTACTAAACTGTAGTCTATTTGCAATGGATTCATCTACGGTTGGCTCTTTTTGAACTTCACGACTCTGATGCTTGGTTCTCCGAGAGGTGACATGGGTCTTCCTGTGTGTCACAACTGATTCGGACACTCTGCATTCCTCCTCCAGCTGCTCTGCCTTGTCCATGGCTTCATACAACTGCAGGGGCCTTACAGGACCCACCAGCTCCTGTGCCTCAGTTTTTTCCAAAGTAGCAGAGCAGTCTGCTTTCAGGGTATCTTTTCTGTCAGCTGAACTGTTCTTCATCTGCATCCTCTCCTTCCCGAGAGGGCAGGATGTGTCTAACCGAACCTTTTGCTTTCTTCTTGGCTTGGCTACAGAGTGATTTGTGGTCTTTTTGGGCTTGGTCTCCACAGCATCTATTTCAGCATTGTCACTAAAGGTGATTTCCATCTCTTTATCGACCAGTGTCGTCTGCTCTTGGTATGGGGGATCAAGAGGAGTCTCATCTGTTGTGCTGGATAATGATCCCCTACTGTACTCTCCTGAAACATAATTTACTGTATTGGTTGCAGGGGCCATGTTAAGAGTATTTTCAATAATATCTTGGACCTTCTGTGGAGTGTTTGAAGGGATCTTAGACCACTTTTCTAACTCCATGGGTAACCTAGTGGCAACTTGAGTCGTGGGAGCTGAGTTTTCTGTCCCTGCCATGTTTGCTTGAGATATATTTCCTGCAAAAGGTAACAGAACCATTCAGAAACTATACAAATGGATTTTAACACACATTAGCAAAGCTCATTTCCCCCAATGACTTTTAAATAATTAATACTAACAGCAGTATAAAAACCCATGGACAGGAATCCATGAAAGGCAAAACAGTAACATTTTAAAGTACAAATGTCTCAAAAATACTTTCAAACCTTTCAAAGTATTAGGCTCCGATTGTGTGGTTATGCCGAGTGCTGCTGTGAGTGGACATATGTTATCTGTATCTGTTACCCGTCTCACTCTTGCAGGCTGTACTGAACACTCAGCAAATTGAACCTGAGCTGATGAGAAAGGTTTGCTTGCTGGGTTCCTAAAAATAAATATGTGACAGATTAATATTTTCTTTGACATAGTACTATGAATACTGGATTTTGAATTTTAAATCTAGTACGCACGACCGCACAAAATTCATCAATTCAGTGCTTAAAGGAACTATATAAATGATCACCCATGCTTTGTGTTTGTCTCTTCACAATCTGCCTGCAATTGTTCATCTGCAACTTCCTGTAGATCGGAGACATCCTTGGTTGTGAAAAGATAAAATTGACAAAATTAGTTAGTTGTTACTCTTATTTAAGTAAAACGAGAAACACATAAGGCCACACATTAAATATACTGTAATGAAAAATAACCACTGGGTTGATCAGGTAAACTCTATTTCGTGATTACCAGAAATTCCCAAATACACACCACAATAACCAAAATCCTTACATCATGGGCCAGCACGTCTACAGCAGCCGCCAAGCTCTTTAGAGCATTGCTGTGAAGATCCTTCAGTACTGCAACCTAGGACAAGACACTTAGATATCAATATACTCTGTGTGAAATAATCCATCTTCACCATTCTTTTGTATGTGTTATTTTGTCCCATTCTTCCTGCAAACACATCTTAAGGTGTGAAACAGTATGGGGTGGTCATTGTCGCATTTTCTGTTTCAAAATTCTCCATTATTTTTAGAATTACTGCATTTTTTTTTTTTTTGCATTTTCCATACCATCCTAACTTTTTCTGATTTGGGGTTGTAAAATATTTTAATTCATATACAGTAGGAGGCGCTGCTGGGAACCACACAGAAGTAGGTTAAAAAGGCAATCCTTGGAGGTACTCTTTCATTCTAAAGCAAAATTATGCTTATTATGCAACTAAGAATATACCATATGGATTTCAGAATGGTGCAAAAACAATGCTTAAGGGTTTAACTGGTCTCCAGGTGAACACTTTCAGGTTTCATTTGTTCACTGCACTTAATATTTCTGACCCACCAATTGAGTCTGCTTGTGCCGACGGAGGGCAAGGTCAAAGCACAAGCTTTGCACCTCTTTCCGCAGGCGTACAATCTCAGTCTCGAGGTGCCTGCTCTTCTCCTTCTGCGCCGCAAGAGCAAGGGCAAGAGCCTTGTTATTAGTCTTAAGAGATACCTTAAAAAAAGAAGAGGTATCTGCAAAGAGGATGAAATTAACAAATTCAATAAGACAGACTTGCAACAAACTTAACTACAGATAAGGATCCAATATAAAATAAAATAAAATATGATTCAACGTCCTCAAAAGCAATCATAAACAAAAGCATATTTCCACATTCGGCAGCTACGGGGCAAATTCTGTAAATAATCAGCAGAATTATATGTGCAATAACTGGTGCAACGTTTTGCCAAATTGTGACATTTAGAAAAGCGCATTCACCAGTTTTCACCATATGACTATTGCTGAAACTGCCATGTTACATAAAGCACCGGCATCACAGCAAGAACTCGGTATGTGTACGTTTCCTTTTGTATTTTTAACACACAAAGATAACTGTACTTACTTGCGATCTTAGTCTTGATCTTAGATGAGATCAAGGAGCTTGGCTTGGCGACTTGCCTCTGTCGCACCATCCTCCCTCGGGGGTTTACCAACGTGGTGGAAGAGGACATCATGTTGCTGGTAATTACTACGGTCCTGTCAGGGAAGATAAATAAATTCTAATTCTATTCAACAGCAAATTAAAAATAATCTACAGACTAGACGGAATACATATATCTAGACGAGTATCCTGTGATATTTTCACTTGGATCTCTAGGTAACATCGCCTTTGGTATTTTACAAACGACACCCCCCTAACTTTTACCGGTATAAAACAAAATAGTTTTTCTCCAAATACTTACCGGAATAAACTAGACTAATACATATACCCTCGAATTACTGGTATCTTCGTGGCAAACTGCATATCTTATACTAACCACATTTACCCCGATGCAAAACAAACCGAAAACACCACTTCAAACAAAAACGTTCTTCTACCGCCGTAACAACTCAAACTTTAAGCCCCGCCCATTGCGTCGCTTCAGCGGGCCGGTATTCTGCTGATGACCAATCATAAAGAGGTTTAATTGTTGTTTTGTATGTGATTGGTGGGAGTATTTCGCTTCATTTTTTTCTCGTTTTGCGGGGCACTGGCTGTTTTCGGCGTTTCCAATTTCTCTTGCCATAAATGACTTCAGGCTGTTTTTATTGCGTTTCGGGTTCCCTTGTTCTTATTTTGAGGTTGTAGTTTGGGGGCTTTTTAAATTGCGTATTGGGAAACTTCTTTCAAGGCATTTGAATTAAAAAAATATAATAGATTCATCATTCAAAGAAAGAAATTCTAATATTAATTCTAATTATACTACAGATCCAACCCATCATCGATCCAACGATTGAAATTAGACAGCTAACTTTTGGCGTACGCGCATAAAATAGCTTGAAGCTTAGAAGCTTGCCATCAAATGCTGCCTCCGTTGTAGGCTAAATTTTAACCTTATTTTATTTTTCCTGCCGTCATACTGTTCATATATTATATGGTATTTTGACGCTATTTATTATTACGAGCTGGGGAGAATTCCCACGATAACAACCGAGATCCAAAACAGCACCCAGACTGCGCGTTTCGGGTTTTTAGGAGTCACTGTACTGTGGGAATTCTTTTTTCTGATTCATACTTTAATTCCCTAGCATCCTTGCTGGCTATTTCCAGCCATTTTGGCTAGCTCAGTTAATTCACGAGAGTTTGCCCCGAACCGCAGATCCGGTATTCTGTTAAGTAACAAAAGGCCCAATAGGCAAAACAAAAACGAAGAAATGTAGATGACTTGATGGTTGCATCATTCGCATTAACTGACAGTCTGTTGATGTAGCCGATTTTAGGTCCATATACTGGAATAATATGAAATGCTCAAAAAATTAAAGGAACACTCAGTTAAGCGTTCTGCTGAGTCTGGCAAAAGAATTTCATCTTTTAATATCACTTCATTTAATTTTTGGCCAGAATTTGACATTGAACTAGTGGTTTAAGGTTAAATAAGAGTTTTGTTATGCAGATATATCACAAAATTTTGCACCTCTCATATATTTATGAGTTCAGTATCCAATAGTTTGTGTGAAATGTGCCACAAAGGGCCATATTTAGTTTAGCAAACCATGAATTATTTACTATTATCAATTCCACCAAAAAAGAAACACTAATACAAGAAAATGGTAAATTAAGAAAGGAACGGTGCCTCAAGTATTTGTAGGCTATTGTATGCATATTTACATGGAATACACATAATATGGCAAATACAGGACAAACTATTCCATGCGGTCATGTATATTGGGATTATATTTGGGCTTGATTTCTCCACTCTACTTTGCACAGTGAGTTTATTTTGGGCTTGTTTTCAGAGGTCATGTTGCATGTTTGTATTAAGAGACTGGGCAGCACTCGCTGTTTTATTCGCTTAGCTACAATTTACAATTTAGAGTTTAAACCGAAATAATTAACATTGTTTCTAAAACTCCATTGCTCTGTCCTCTGTGCCTGCAGTTCAAATTGCAGTTACATTTAAAACAAAACCCAGCTGCCCAGTCCCTTAGAACAAGGTTTCTCAAACACTTGTCCGCGGTAACTCAGTGAGTTCCAAGGCCTTGTGGTCGGAAAAGTTGAGAATCCCAACCTTAAAATTCACCTGAATGCCAATAGGTGTCACTCTTTCTATGGTTTATGTTATGCTTGCACTGCACATGGTTTGTCTTTAAACAGAGATGGCCTTGGTTTATACAGGCTCCGTTTAATCATGTAGAGTATTACGTAGGTAACCCCGATGAAATCAGTAGCACGTGTAGTTACAAAGGCTACATATAAATTCTAAAGGCACCAGAAAGTCTCTGAATGGAAGGTCCTGCACCGGTCTATAAGACCTCCAGGATAAGTGATGCTTGAAAATGGCGCAACATTATTGGAGATTCCTCGCACCCAATCCACAGACTGTTTCCTCTTCTCCCATCTGGAAGGAGGTGCAGAAGCCTCCAATTCCACATCAGCAGAATGAGGAAGAGCTTCTTTCCCACAGCTGTCTCAGGGTTACCAACTTTGGTCAGCTGGAGTGAGATTTTCAATTCGTAACAAGTCTGCATGTACATGCATACGCATTTACATGTTACAGTTTTACTACCCTGTAAATCAGGGGTCTCAAACTCCAGTCCTGAAGGGCCAGAGCCCTGTGTAGGTTAGTTCTTTCCCCCTTCCACCACAAATGATTCCGCTTAAGAGCTGTCTGGTAATTAGCATAAGGAGTTGAATCAGGTGTGTTAAATGAAGGTGAACCAAAAACTGTGTAGGGCTCCGGCCCTCCAGGACTGGAGTTTGAGAGCCCTGCTGTAAATAGTCTGTAGGGTTTGCAAACCACCTCAGTGCTGTTGATGTAGCCGATTTTAGGTCCATACTAGAATAATATACAATACTCAAAAAAATTAAAGGAACAGTTTTTAATCAAGTATAATATCAAGTCAATTAAACTTCTGGGATATTGATCTGGTCAGTTAAGTAGCAGAGGGGGTTGTTAATCAGTCTCAGCTGCTTTGGTGTTAATTAGATTAACATCAGGTGCACTTGAGGGGCAACAATGAGACAACCCCCCTAAACAGGAATGGTTTAACAGGTGGAGGACACTGACATTTTTCCCTTCTCATCTTTTCTGAGTGTTTTTCCAGTAGTTTTGCATTTGGCAACAGTAAGTGTCACTATACAACGGCACCTTGACTACCATTAGGAATCAGGATGAAATCCTTGGACCCACTGTCAGACCACTGGTGCAGTAGGTCCTGGGTTCCTCCTGGTGCCTGACAATGCCCGGCCTCATGTGACAAGTGTATGCAGGCAGTTCCTGGAGGATGACCATTGACTGGCCCCCACGCTCGCCTTACCTAAATCCAATAGAACACCTCTGGGACATTATGTTTCGGTCCATCCAACACCACCAGGTTGCACCTCAGACTGTCCAGGAGCTCAGTGATGCCCTGGTCCAGATCTGGGAGGAGATCTCCTAGGACACCATCCGTCGTCTCATTAGGAACATGCCTTGACGTTGTCAGGCATGCATACAAGTATGTGGGAGCCATACAAACTACTGAGTACGATTTTGAGTTACTGCAATGAAATTTTAGCAAAATGGACTAGCCTGCCGCATCATTTTTTCACTTTGACTTTCGGGATGTCTTTGAATTCAGCCCACTTTAGGTTGATAATTTTCATTTCCATCAAACAATGTGGCATCCTTTCATTCCTAACACATTACCCATTTGATATAAGTATAGATATCCAGCATGATTTTTCTCTCATTGAGATTTGATGTGTTTTCAAAGTGGTCCTTTAATTTTTTTGAACAGTGTAGATTTGCCGTAGGATTTCTTGCTTTGTCACGCCAGATGTGTGAGAGTTGGCAACCCTGCTATTTCACTGCTGAACTCTCCACTTATCATCACTAATCTTTAGTACTAATCGTTATACCCCTGTATAGATGTTTATTCTTCTATTTACTGATTCACATATGTATATATTGTACAGCAGTGTCTAGCCTTTTGCACTACTTTGCACTTTCAGATTAGATGCTATACTGCATTTCGTTGTTTGAGTTATTGCGCAATTACAATAAAGTTGAATGTAATCCAATCTAGTGTAATCTAAAAATTTGTAAGTGGTTTTTAATATAGAGTTTACCTCTATATATTTTTTTCCTATATAATGGTTTATTATCAAATCTCTGTTTTTGTCATTCGCAAGTTATGACAGTTAATTGGTGGTGGCAGAGATACAAACGTACTCACGCTGTTTTCAGACTATTAACATATCTCCACCTAAACCGATTGTATTATCTAATTCAACTGGAAGCTGAAGTATTTAAATATGGCATTAAACTGTATTTTGTGGTATTTGCATCAATTGTACGTCGCTTTGGACAAAAGCATCGGCTGAAGAAAGTGAATGTAAATGTAAAGTATTTCACCTAATCCCACAGATATTACATAGCGAAAGCATGACTACAAATAAGAAGGCCGCGAGTCACCATTTTTTTTTCTTCTACAATAAAAATATGATCAGGGATAGATTAGACTAGTTAATTTCAGAATAATCGTTCACTCCAGATTCGCTTCTAGGTGAAAGTAACCCCGATTTTGACATATAGATGTGTGATGCCTAGTCGCGTGACCAAAACAGTTCGATCCTGGGGGTGATCGACTAGTTTGGTCTGTTTTAGGAAGCGGTCTTCTGTTGGTGGCTGGGGGAAACTAGAGGCAGGAAGGTAGGTGTTTGTTTTATATGACATCTAAACTTAAGCTTAAAGCACATGTCACTTGTATTGAGTTAGGACATACCTATTAAAACGATATAATATTTAAAACATCGATAATTAATCGTTAGCAATCAAAATGAGATAGCACTTATCAAGGCCTCCTGGATTAGACAGGGAAAAGCAACGTCCTGGTTTTTTTGTATCGGTCTGTCGCTTTCTATCGGTTATGTCGGACAGATTTAATTGATTAGCCTATTTTAAACAATGCCTGCTTGTCTGCCTTGTACTTCAGCACTGTAGTTAGTTGTAGTTCATAATTGTATTGTACTTTACTATTATGCAGTGTTTGCTTTCTAGCAATTATGTATATGCATGTACATTTTAGCATTGTTATATTAATTTTTGCGAATACAATATTGCTGTATGTTCCTGTATAATTAACATTCGCAGTGCCACAAAATTACGAGAAGCGTAACGGATCTCAACCGTCGTCTTCTGTCACGGGCTTGTGGTCACATGGTTGGATTGTTATTAATGGTAGTTGGTCTTAACTTCATCCCTTATTCTTATTTTACGTTACATTCGTGTTTTTCGTTCGATCTCTGAGTTTTCATATTTTAAATGTTTGTTGCAAAGATTAAGTATTTTGTGTGTTGGTGTAGAACAAAGTGTGGTCACATAAACTCATATGTTGGTTTGAAGTTGTGTGGTTTTTACTGTTTCGAATAACAATATGAATATGCAAGCATTGGATCAAACATTATATGTCAACTATTTTGACAGACTTTACCATATATAGTCAGAGGTAAAAGGACAAATGGAAAGAAATCCGTATTGTTGTATAATCAGTTTAATTTGCTCAATCATTATCTGAAGTGTGATACAGATAAAGACATTTGCATTGTCTTTAATAGTACTGAGATCATCAAACTGCTTATAAGGGTTTTCCTGAGTTTTTATGTAAGTTATGCAATTATACTCTGAAGAACTACCCCATGCCTGGCTGTGTCGTGGTATGGGCATGGGCAAAGTAAAGGGGGGCAAAGTCAGGACAAGTCCAAGGGCCCCTAAGTGGGGCCTAAAAATATGTAACATAATTGAATTGGTCTTGGTTGAGGGCCCAAAATCTCTAGTAGCACCCCTGTTTGTCGGGTGGTTTGTGCCTCTGCGGGTTAGGGTTCTGTGCCCATGATCAAAATGTCACTGATTCACCTTTTTCCGCTGGCAGAGTTGAGCCCTTGAGCAGGTCCCCAGGTGCAGCAGTGTGGTCTGACCCTGCTCTATCATCCTCACTTTTATGGGTCATTCCATTTTAATTCAGCAAATGGCCTTTGCATGACCATTTTTTATTTTGATGAAATTTGGCTTATGAATTATACATACCTGCATGACACTTCTACTAATGGGAATAAAGCCACGGACGCCCAGGTTTGAGGGATCAGCTCTGCCATTTGGAATCTGTGCTGGAGAATCTTTCCTGTTTGCTTAATTTTCTCAGAAGAGCACAAGATAAACATTATTTCATGTATGGGATCAGAGTAATAGTTGTGCATGTGAATAATCATAAAGATCTGGTGTAATGTGCCCTGCAGACCTGATGAGTGCCATGCCTGGACTCATCTTTCAAAACACAGGAGAAATTCCCTGGAAAGTCCCCTGAAACATTCCACACTTGAGGCCACACTTTAGGTACACCTCAGGTGTACTTTAAGCTGTTTTTGTGGAAGGAACTGGTTAAAAGAGAGTGAGATTAGTGACGTTTCAGTGATTGTTTTTTGTATGTTCTGTGCTTCGCAACTCCTACAACCGATTGAATTACAAACACTTTTTTTAAAGCAGGAAATGTGTACTTTCATTCCAGCTAAGTGAAACGTTTTTACCCCTCTCCCACTTGCTTTTTTTGAGAGTCAAATACAGCTTTTCTGTACAATTTGTGCAGTTTTGGGGTGCATATCTCATGAAGGATACCAGGTACCAGGTCAATGTTTTGTATACTAGCAGTACACCAAGTAGTACACACACTGTTTTATTACAGCCCTTCTTACTCACTCCTCACTTATACCATAATTGACGTGCTATCCCAAGCCCTCCACTGTTTTTTATAACCAAATCAGGTGAAAAATGCTGTCTGTAAGATTAACTTTGACCTTGAAGAAAGACTAATGCAAAAGTTAAGTTTGATAATACCGTGAAAAAGTTCTTTCTGAGCTGTCCATCAAGCTATAACTGACCCATGTCCTTAGAAACACTCCGAGCTATCATTTTTGACTGCCTGTGCAGTCACTATATCTCAAAACTAAATTAAGAAAAACAATGAAGAACATAAGAAATGTACAAATGAGAGGAGGCCATTCAGCCCATCCAGCTCATTTGGGAAGAATTTAATTAATAGCTCAGGGGCTTGTACTACGAAGTGGGGTTACTGGTCAGATTTAAGGTAGTCTGGGCAAAATGTAAGTGAATGAATATGAAGTCCATTTAAACTGTCCGTTTAAATCCGACAAGTTACCCCGATAAGCCAGTAACCCCGCTTCGTAGTACAGGCCACAGAGCTGTTAAAATCTTATCTAGCTCTGATTTAAAGGAACCCAAGGTTTTAGCTTGCACTACACTAACAGGATGACTATTCCATACTCTACATGCTGTGTAAAGAAGTGCTTTCTGAAATACAATTTAAAATGTTCTCCCGCTAATTCCCACCTATAATTTCCGTAAGTTCTTGAATTTGAAATAATAAAGGTAAGAATAATTTCTGAGCTCAGGAATGAATATGTATTTCACATGCCAAATTTCATCAAAATCAGAAAATGGTGATGCAGAAACCTTGTTGGAAATTTGTTGAATGAAAATGTAATGACTCGTCCGTCACTTTGGGAGCACAAGCCCCTGCTAAGTAACTGTGATGTAATGTAAGCCTTGTCTTGATCACTGGGGGAATAGTGCAGCCGTAACTTTTGGTTACTTGTCATGTGATTTCTAGTTGATCATGCCTTTCATTAGCCATTTCAGGCATTGATAATTTGGGTCATGTGTATTTTCTTGTGGAAAAAAACAGTGTTTCCTAGCTTTATGACTTTATCCTTTTCGTTAGAACTGCTGATAATGACACATTAATACAAAGGGACCTTTGTGCTGAAAAACAGATGGATGATGAAAAATGAAAGGAGTATGACATCATATAGGACAGTTTATTCCAGTGCTGTCCTTAGTGCACTTATTCAGGTGTTGTAGAAATGGGATTAATTTCTTATATTGTGGAAGTTGGATCTTGTTTTTTTTTTTTTAAATAGATGGGGGGATCCACTGAATGATTCTTTAGGGAGACTGTCTATTATTTAGCCTGTGAGCCATCTGTAGATATATTCAATAGATGATTGAAATTGATGAAGGCTGTAGCTCCTGTCCATGGGGGCCCAGTGACAGCCCCCACTAAAGAAGTGTATCTTCCTGGCAGGGGCAGTGACATGGCTGCCGATGACAAGTCTTCCTCCTCCACTCTGGAGTGGAACGCTGAGCCACTGCCCTCCCCTGGCAGCCCCTCTCACCTCACTCACTTCAAGCCCCTGACCCCCGAGCAGGATGAACCCCCACTGCGATCTGCCTACAGCTCCTTCGTCAGCCTCTTCCGCTTCAGCAAAGGTGGGACGTGAGCCTTTGGCAGACTGTTTACATGCTCTTTCTTTTTCACAGGCATTGTGGTTGATTTGGCCTGAAGTTATTTAAATACAGTGTTTCTTAAACTGGTCCTTGGGAACTGAAATGTGGACCTTCTGGCAGGGAGTCGAGATAGAGCAAAAACCTGGATCGTCTTGGGGTCCCAGAGGACCGAGTTCAGACACACTGATATAAATGGGTGAAGGTCATGCAGACCTACAGGACTTAATAGCCAAGGAATTGTGCCTAATTCACCTGTTTTCCAGGCTTATGTAGGTATAGTCTGCATAGTTATGTTAAAATATTTGACAGGGGATTTATCATTTGGATTAGAATCATCTGTAATTCACAAGACTAATTGATGGAATCCAGAGCCTTTCTGGAGAGCCAGATGGACATCATTCACTGGATCCTGTTGCTGTTCATTCATGGAGAATTTCTGGTGGAGAAACTTAGTTTGCTGGTTGAACTTAGCTACTTGTTGTGATTTTGGATTATTCGTTTTACAGCTTCTACTACCTTAGTGGATATATGACAGATCATTTGATTCCTAAAATAGTCTAGTCTGTTCTGAAGTTTTCTAATGGAAAAAGCCAGTGTTGCTGGGGCTGTAGTTAAATGAGCTGTACAAACTGATGTTTCTTATTTTTGAAACATAGAAAAAAATGTAAAAAGTGCTGCTAACATTATACAGACAGTCAGAGGAAAAAAATACAGTGGTACCTCGGAACTCGAATCAGAACGCTGGTCAGGTTGCGATTTGGTCGAGGCCCAAGTCAAATTTCCCCCAAAGAAATAATGTAAATGAATTTAATCTGTCCCAGACCCCAAAATAATTGCCTATTTCAGCTTATCTACCCAATTAATATAATACTAATACACAAAGCACACATGCAAAAGCAATAAACGTAAAATAAATGACAATCCCACACTCCAAATCCAAGAGCAGACACACCTTCAAGTCTCGCTATAATTTCATTTTTTAGTTCTACAGTTACTCTCACTACTTTCCTCTTTGGTTTGCTGCTATGACAGCCAACTTTTTAGTGGCCATGATGACTGTATCACTAAATGTACTGTAGATAAAGCACAACAAATTCACACCGATCACAGCTTTCGCGATTCATAGGCATCAGCATCCCAGTAGGTCTGCTTGCCTTCACTTCAGCCCATCAGAGACGCGTCTGGATCCGTAGAAGTTTTAGCAGGTCTGTTTTGTTTTGTTATGCTCCGATTTTTCGTTCAAGTTGCGGTTAGATTTTCCTTGACCGGCCTGCATCTCGACCCATACAAGTTATAACAGGAAAGGTCGAGGTACAAGTCAAAAAAATCCAACAGACTCGATGTCCAAGTTGGTCGAATTAAGAGGCGTCCAAGTTCCAGGATTCTATGGAAATTTACTTATTGCTATTGTAAGTATTTGCACGTCAGTACTTCAGTACAATATTAGTAAACTGGAGAAAAATTGGCATTTTTTAGATTTTAGATTTTTACTATTTTCAATTAGGCCTGTGAGATATGACCAAGATCTCATATCCCGATAACAGATAATATACATCACGGCCTCACCTCGTATTTACGCATTTTTTCTGCAGATCAGCTGCGGTAGGAACTGGACAAAAATCTTCTACTAAAAAGGCGCGAGGTCACAAATAGACAGGAAGTGATACGAAAATAAGCAAATCTCTTTTCGTGTGTACAAATCTCTCTGTATTTTTGTGGATATGATTTTACATAACATAAATAAAAATACATATCTGTGAATTGTGATGAATTTGTGATTTTTTTTTTTCTACAGATTAGCTGCGGTATACAGAGCCCATAATATATTTCTGGGTGTGAAAATATCTCGCTATAGTTTGCGTTCCCTCGCAGTACTTTTCTGTTACTAATACTAACTGTACTGTGTCTGTTTAAAGTACAAAAGATGGAATTAACAGACTAATAAGTATAAACCTAAATGATATAAACATGTCCAGTTAATTGTTCTTTAAACATTAAACTATGGGGGGCATTGTAACTTTCTTATACAGTATGTGTTTTTAAACGTATTTATTAATAATTGCACTGTCCATTCACCGTCAGTGATTGTAAATAAGTAGGCTGGGCTTGGGACATTGGACGTGAAGTGCACACACAAACATTGAAATATGAATTAAAATTCGTAATATCTCTCAATGTTTGTGATATATTTGTGTTCATATGTGTGTGCTTGACGTTCAATAGCATCATAGTTTAATTCTTAAAGCACACTTTACAGGACATATCTGTATTATTTAGGGTTATCCATGCCCTCACGTGGCAGCAAATAGCAAGTGAGCAAGTGCACTATTGCGAATGAACACAAAAGTGTTTCAAAAATATTTTCCCACCCAGACCCCGCAAGGGGGTCTGTAGTGGTACAAACTGGACAAAAAATCCACAATTCAATAGGAGGGAAATCACAAACGTAACGCGATCCACAAAAAGACAGCATCTGATCCACAAATGGGCAAAACGCGCTTCACATGTACAAATCGCTGTTTTTGTGGATATGGCTTTACACTACACAAACACAACAGAAACACAAAATACATATTTGTGGATAGTTAAATTATTGTGGATTATGGTACATATTTGCGGAATGTTTTCTGTGGCCTACAAATAATAAAGTCCAATAAAAACGTCCATGCTAGTGCCACATCCCATGTGGTGGTTTCACCCAAATGAAGAGAAATGTTGCAGTAAACAGTGTATTTTGCGACACCACAAAATAAACGACAGAGCACATTATTAAATGATAGACGTTTCCATTTCGTCATTCAATATGTGTCGTCATATCGCACAGCCCTGTTTTCAATGAGTGAAATGGATAATTACATTTTGTAAACAACAGTGCAGTTATTTCTGTATGATTTTCAGGCAGTTTATGGATATGGCAATCAAGGGTTACTTTGTCAGTGTCTGTGCTCAGATTACTGTTGGGAAACTTCTGTGATTTATAGGACGGTGGCAGTGGCCCAATCATAACGCAGTCCTGTGACCAGATGAATGTGCCAGGAATGTTCACACAGTATCATGTGCTTCTGCTTCCTTCTTCATTTTACTAAATGATCATTTATTGTGTGGGTTCAGGTTTGCACTGTGCTCTTGAGTACTGGCTTGTACTTATGGAGTTTAGTGTTTTATCATGAATCACAGTAGTGCTGTGTTTGATTCGGTATGTGCTCAGATGAAGCACGGCCCCCGTCGGCGGCTGAAAAGATGGAGGTTGTCGTGCCATCCCCTAAAGGAGAGCGGAAGAACTGGCCCAGCCCTTCCCACTCCCTGCACGCTCCTGCCACGCACAGAAAGCCCCCCCCTGAGCTTCTCAGACGCACTTCCACAGCATCAGGTGCAGGTTTTGCCGTTCTGCCTCGATTAGCCATCCATACACCGGGACAGACACTTTTACCCACTGCTCACTAACCCCCCACCAAGCAGGACCCCCCCCACACCTTTCCCTTTGATTTAGTCATATCTTATGAACAGTGACCTGGCAGATCAGTAATTCTTATTCCTGATGTTTTCTCATTTCACATCAAGGGACCATGTTTGCTGAGATTCTCTTGCTGATGTATAGCTACTGCATTGCAGCACCTCTGGATCACTCCCTTTGCCTTAAGTTCTTTTATGTCTTTTTTTAAGCTTTTTAACAGTAACGCAATGAAGATACACAGGAGTTTATATATATATATATATATATATATATATATATATATATATATATATATATATATATATATATA